TCGGGATTCGCCGCAAGTATGCCGGACGCAAGTCTGTCGGACAATCTACATCCACACAAAAAGGGAATGACCCTATACAAGTGAGATATCAATGTTGTGTACAATGCAGTAGGGAACAATACAATTTGTCCCAAAGTACTGTATCCAACACAGAATCGTCGTAGAAGTCGAATCAAGTTCTGTAAACAAGGGATTTTCCAAAGGAAAATCGTTGAACTTACTTTTGTGATTGAAACATCAATTCAAGCCAAACATTAATGAAATAGGAACAATTTCACTCAAAGTATACCTAGGCACTGGAGAACTATTGTCGTGAAAGTGTTGTACAGTCGATTACGAATTTAGATTGCAGAAAGTTTCTTCTGAGCGCTAAAGGCACTCATGATAGAGCACATTTTGCTTTATTCTAACAAAGTGGGTTGCTTTGCCTTCATTCCGCCGGAGGTTAACTTCAAAGCCTATGCAAAAGAAATCATGAGTCACTTTGACTTCTCTATCCCTATTGGAATCAAGATGGATTGGGTTTGCACACCATACACAGGACGTGCTAAATTCAACGAACGGTCCCCCGGTGTAACAAGTCCTCATGGGTACGCTCACAAGATTCATGCCAAAAGAGTGGACCTAGAATTAAGAAGCCTTCTTAATCCATCCACAGCAAAGCCAGACTTCCCCTTCGCTGCTCCGGCTACATTTATTAGTGATTGGAAGTCTGCTCAACAGGGATTGATCAGTGTGAAGGCCTACGGTCCGGTCAAGGATGCTACCCTCACCCTTATTAGCAAACTACATGATTACTACATCCTGACAGAGGTCCTGTATTCGGTCATGGATCTTCCTGGGATGTTCAAGTTCGCAACGACTACTATGTTTGGCTCATGCACCTTGTTTAAGCTTCTCCTGTTGATCAAGGCAACCCCAGCTCAAGCGGACAAAGCTTCTCATGCCCACCAATCAATTATTGAGGCTGATGACTCAGACGATGACTCCGACAATGACTCTTCTGACGACGATCCCAATGAATTCTCTGGCTCTAAAGGCGGTCAATTCACAGAAGTTCGGTCTAAGAAGGCGGCAACAAAGGTGAAAAAGAAGGCAAAGAAGAAGAAGAAGTTTATCACTGATAATGAGAATCCGTTCCTTAACAATCTCTCCCCAGCCCAACGGAAAATGGCTGAAGTTGCTGACCGTAAGCTGAAGAATGATCAGGTGCGTCACAAGTCCGGTCCGCTGTTCTTGATGGTTCTACCAGGCGAGATGGAGGGCACCTACATCCTGGTGTGTCGCAAGAAGTTTGGACAATTGGCTTGTAACGTCTTGAAGGGCTTGGTCCCTTTTCTGACTCATCACCTGTATGAGCCAACTCTGACAAAAACCGATCAAGCCCTCCGTAAATGGGTGCCGCAATCAGAGATCAGTATGGCTCAATGTAAGAACCTCAAATGGTGCACAAACCCACTTTGTGCTGTGGAGGCTACCGCCTCGCCAGACGCGGTTGAGGAAGCATTGGAATTCCTGGATGATGTGATGGAAGACGCAACGGATGTCTATGATGGTCAACTTTCGATCGATTTGGATATGGCTAACAATTTAACAAAGACATTGATGATGGGAAGACCGTGATGGGAATGATGGACGAGATGCAGGAACAGGAGCAACAACTGGAAGATGCCTTCAATGAGATTGAGATTTGGGACAATGCACTGGAGGCTCAGGAACGCGCCTTGGCACAGTAAAGTGCGGACAATGCGGCACTGCAAGAACAGCTCGCTGCCCTCCAGAGTCAGGCCAGCCATCTACCTACCATGATGAGTCAGCCATCTCCCACTCTACCCCACAACAATGGCATGTCTCCTGACCGTCAAGCATTGACCCCACCGGTCAGATCTAGCAACAAAACCTTAGGCAAGTCATCCACCGGGCAGAGCACCATGGTTCCCAACACAGTGACACAACCAAAGAAGGCCACCAAGCAGGGCAAGCCACCAAAACAACCAGCCAAGAAGGCCCGCACAAGTGCAGGTGTCCAATTTCAGGAACCATCTTCTGCCCAACCCTTGGGCTCGGCTGTTCAAGTAGACACGTCTCACATGGAAAGGGACAACAGTCAAACCTCATCTCTTACTGCGTCTACGCCGCAAGGTGGAGGGTCTCCATTCTTCTCTCCTCCTCCTGGGAAGGCGCACAGTGATGGCGCCAGTAAATCCTCTCGGTCCGCCCGCGGAGCTCCCCGCTCCGCGGAGGGGCCATGAGAGGCCCACGATTGTCTGCAGCTAGGTCATGGCGTGCAGGCAGAAGATCCCGTATTAGTGGCCCGTCAAGTGGAGTCTCCCATGCTTCACTTGACAAATATTTACGTTCTCTTCCAGCAGGGGATTGGTCTGGCGATGATCACCGCCGTCATTCCTCACTGGCTACTCGAATCTGTTTCCAGAATGTCAACGGATTACCAGAAAATGGCAATGACTCCAAGCAGCAACATATCAACTCCTGGCTGAAGGAAGAACGAGTGGGAATTGCGTTGTTGGCAGAGGCCAAGACGTTTTGGCCTTCTATCAATGAAGGTCACGGTTGGAGTGACAGACTCCGCCAATAAGCTACGATGAAGTCTGAGCAAAAAGGGTTTTACTCGTCGCTAGCTTACAATCGGCATCAGGACAGATCTGCTGCCACCTCGGCGGTACAATGGGGTGGGTGCATCGCAATCGTTTTGGACCAAGTGGCGCACAGGGCTAAGGAAGCTGGCAGAGATCCCACGGGTTTAGGACAATGGGCCTATGTTCGTCTCCAAGGAAGGAAGTTGAAAGCCCATGGGGGTAATGTTCAGGACTCTTTGGTTGAGGTAAATGCTTAGTTTGTGGACCAATCTCCAAGGACTTGGTGGTGGTCTCCGCGTATCGTCCCAACAAGCAAGGCCTCGGTGGATCTACAGTATGGGCACAACACAGGCTTCACTTTCATGCAGTGAATCGAAAAGATAATCCAAGGAAAGCCTTTGTGGACGATCTTTGCAAACAGATCACCAAATGGCGTGATGAAGGATGTGAGGTGGTTTGGGGTATAGATGCAAACGAGGATATCACTGTCAACGCACCCCAGTCTATCCGCCACCTCTTCGGGGCCTGCGGTCTTGAGAAGGCGATCCTAAAAAACCATCCACCACAAGCGACCCACCAGCGCAACCAACAGAACATTCCAATTGATGGTATCTTCACCACTTCAGGCGCACCAATCCTTGCAGGTGGGTACTACGCCTTTGACGAATTCTTCGCGGCTTGTGGATTGACATTGATCTTTCCGCCTCCTTGGGCAACTTCCAACCTCAGAAATCCAACTTCAAGCCACGGAAGCTGTCCCTCCAAGACTCTTGATCTGTACGCAAATGTCTTCAATTGGTTCACAAAGGTTATGCCGAGTACTCCATCCCGGAGAGATTGAATAAGCTGAATCAGCGTATTGACCACCTGGGACACCAGATGACCCCTTCCTTGGTGCGTGAATACCACTGTTTACACAGACAAATGTATACTGTGAGGTGCCAGGCGGAAGAAAGGTGCCGGGCCTTAGCTCCAGGTAAAGTTCCCTGGTCACCAAAAATGCAGGGATTCTGGGATCGTATGAGCCTGTGGAAGCTTCTGTTGAAAGGCAAGAAGGGTTGCCGTGTGAGTTTGCGCAAAGTTCGCCGGTTGATGAAGAAGACAGGGTTGCCACAAGCTTGGAGGAAATCAGCGGTTGATCTGGAGGACTGCCTGAAGCAAGAGCACTCCTTGTAACAGCAGGCCAACCACACCTACGCAGCTCAATGGAGGAAGACTTCTTGACAGTCCAAACCAAGGACGCAAAGAAGCATCAGTGGAAGTCTCGGAAGGCCCGTAATAGATTCTTTCGGTTACAACAAATGAAGCAAAGAGAGGAGGCGAGACGCCGTCGTCGCACCCAGAGCAAAGTATCTACAGGGGGCCTTCAGGCTATTCAAATTGAAGAACACTTACCAGATGGTACTACAAGTCTCTGGACCATCACTGACCACCGCCTGGTAGAAGGTGGGTGCATGCAAGAAAACATGGCAGGCTATGATCAAACATGAGCGCCGTATACCACTCCACCTATGGCCGAACCGTTATATAGCAAATTTACCGGTGACAACGCTGAAATAAATTCTCTGGCATTGTTAGAAGGCCGTTACACATTACCTGATCTGTTGGACCCAGCTACGGCTTCTTTCTTATCTCACTGCCGGTTTCACAAAGGGCACTCTCCAGTCTACTTGCAAGTCTCCAAGGACGATCATATGTACTTCTGGTCGCGTAACCCTGAGAATAAAGGATCCAAACCTCATGGACTACATAATGGACACTTTAAGGCGGCTATACAGTCTCCATCTATAGCGTACTGTGATGCCCTCTTCCAGAACATTCCTCTCACCACAGGGTTTGTTCCTCTTCAATGGCAAAACCTGATGAATTTTGCCATTGAAAAGAAGCCGGGAGACTTCCGCCTATCTAAAATGCGCACCATCCAGCTGATGAATTCCAAGGCCCAGGCAAACAATAAGAAGGCGGGCCGTGCAGCCATGCAATTTGCCAAAGCGCACTCCTTGATACCCGACGGGCAATGCGGCTCACGCAAACGTCATCAAGCAATTGACCTGGCCTTGTCTAAACGATTAGTGTGGGATCTACTGATCCTTCAACGCCGCGCAGCGGGGTGGATCTCGAATGATGCCAAGTCCTGCTTTGACCGTGTGGTCCACTGGGTGGCCATCGTCACAATGTTGCGGTTTGGCTTGACATGGCGTGTCCTATCATTGATGTTCAACATGCTCTCCTCCGCTACCCACCGCGTTCGCACAGGTTTTGGTGACTCCAAGAGAAGCTTTCGCCCTCCGTCAGCGGTGCCATTCCAAGCTTGTGAGCAAGGGAATGGTGCAGGACCCCCCATTTGGATCTTGGTGAGCTCAGTGTTAATCACAATGATGGAAGCAATGGGCTATGAATTTGAGTGTCTTTCGGCGTTAGAGTCACAACTAGTGACAGCCCAATGTTTCTGTTTTGTTGACGATACGGACGTGATTGAAGCAGGTGACACAGTCCATCACTCTGGGGAGGATATTTGCGCCTCAGTCCAGGCTGCTGCCACCTTGTGGTCGGGGGGAATTTGGGCAACAGGTGGTGCAATCAATCCGGAGAAGTCCTTCTGGTGGCTTATTGACTTTGAATGGGATGCTCGCAATGGTCAGTGGAGATTCCGTAGGAAATGCTCCGCGGCACCGGAATTTGACCTTATGATACCGGGGTTATACGGTGACATTGAACCCCTTCGTCGCCTTGAACCAGATGATTCCGAACGTACTCTGGGGGTGATGGTGTCGCCACTGGAAAATCACAACGCACAGGAGGCACAGTTGGTCTCTAAAGCTATAGAGTGGGCCGAACAGCTTTGGCCTCACCTGCTACACAAGTACGACGTGCTACCACTGATCCGGACCACGATCATGAAGAAGCTTGATTATCCTATGGCACTCACTACCCTCAACGCTCAACAATGGCAGGACATTATGTCACCGGTTCTCCAGGTGTGCTTACCTAAGTCAGGTGTTTGCTGCAACTTTCCCCGTCCGGTGGTCTTTGCCCCTTGGATTATGAAGGCCTTGGTGTTCCTCACCCCTTTGACAAGCAAGTGTATAACACTTGGAGATGATCCTGCGCCATATGTCGGGGGGTACAAAGACTGGAGCCTATATGGACGCCAATCTCTAGGCTCACCAACTGGGAACCGGTACCTCCTTTGGTCTTCTACAGCAAGATTAGCAGAATACATCCATTCTTGCTTCTGATACCTGGGATACCCCGCAATTTGTTGTAAAACCAGATTTTTCTCGTTTTTTAAGAGTCCATGTGGTCATTTTCACCCTCTTCTGCACAAAACTCCAATTATAGGCTTTACTTAGGAAAAATCTGTGAGTGCCTTCTACGACTTCAAATGTTTAACATTCACAAAACTCGTTAAGTAGACGAAATAAATCGGTTTGACTTTTTGACTTTGTATTATGTTGTTGTGGTCATCATTTACAGCAATTTGATATTCCGAAATTGCTGTAAATGATGACCACAACAAAATCGTTGGAGTCGCCAGCAGTACATGCGCGCGATTTAACTGTTTTTTATTTCAAATTGAAAATTTCTCGAAATTGAATCTGAGCTTCTTTCTTGCAGTATGCATTCTTTGCCATCCAACATCACTTTGATTGCTATGTGCGGTGCCAGAAGACATTGGGATGGTTGAAAATGTAGTGACACCGGAACAGGTGTTGTTCTACGGATTTGAAAGTATTGGCAGTCAACCTGCGATTACGGCCAAGAACGACTACACTGAGCATAACATCTTTGTTTTCAAGGCTCACTTTGGCACAACCCCCAGCGCTTTCTGCCATCTCTGGGAAGACATTATGAGTTTGAAGAACGAAGACTTGGGGCTTCTCCCATCAGACAAGAGCGAGGAGGGAATTAAGCGATTGCTAGGTGCAATCCACTTCCTCTGGGAGTATCCCAAAAAAGCCGCCTTAATTGGAATAAGCGAACAAATGGTCCAACGCAAGAAGCTGTGGCATTGGGTAAAAGTGATTGGGCGACTAAAAGAAAAGGTGATCAGCTGGCCGGAAGAAGAGTGCAATAATTGGGGAAGAACAGTCCTCTTGACTGTCGACAGCGTTGATTTTAGGACGTACGAGAAATTGATCGACGACTCTCTAGATGGGGCATATGGTCGAAGAGCAGCATTTACTATGAATTAAGGTTTAGCTATGCTTCTGCTTTTTTCTAGGACGATTCTGCGAGAAAAGATTCCTGAAGGCAAAGTCGTTATTTGCGATCGAGTCTACAAGGATTTTGACGTATAAGGACAATGACGAACTTTTGCTGCCATGTGTTGGCGACAGTTCGGGACTATTCACGTTCAAGTCTTGTCTCCGGTCAAGGCACGAGAGTTTGAATGGTCAACTGAAGGATTACAGAATTCTCTTCAATACATACCATCACGATTCCGATAATCATGTCTATGCTTTTGAAGCGGTGGCTGTTCTTGTCCAGTATGCGATGGACCATGGGCATCCTATCTTTGAAGCAAACACTGTACCACCAGAGTGAATAAACTAGATGTCCTACTGTTAGGCTATTAGTACGCTGTAGCTATCTATTTTGGACAACGTTTAAAATCGCTACGCCTCACTTTCTCGTGCCTGCAATTTGTCATAACGTTTTCTTAACCCTTTTGCGAAAAGTGCCTTTTTGGCACTTCGAACCACGGTACATTCTGTTGGCTAAAACAGCCAGTCTGGTCCTCAAAAATGTGACAAGCTGGTTCTGACCCAGCTACCGGTATATCCTATCTATTTGTCACGCCTGAAGACCACTTTTAATCCATATAAACCTGGATTTTCC